CCTGTCTTGTCAAAATTCAACCTCAATCTCTTAGCCGCCATCCATCCTCCAACCGCCTCCTGACACTCACAGAGGACTTTCATCGCCTTCACTGGTTCTGATTTAAAAGAGAGGTAAAGCTGGGTGATGCTGTGGGTTAAACCACAGAGCCTAGGGCTTGCCGATCTGAAGGTCGGCAGTTCGAATCCTTGCAACGGGGTGAGCTCCCGTTGCTCGATCCTTCCTTCCAACCTAGCAGCTCAAAAGCACGAAGTGCAAGTAGATAAATAGGTACCGCTCCGGTGGGAAGGTAAACGGTGTTTCCGTGCGCTGCTCTGGTTTGCCAGAAGCGGCTTAGTCATGCTGGCCACATGACCAGGATGCTGTACGCCGGCTCCCTCGGCCACTAAAGCGAGATGAGCGCCACAACTCCAGAGTTGTTCGTGACTGGACCTAACGGTCAGGAGTCCCTTTACTTTTACCGTTAGAGCTGGGTATCATCTGCATACTGACGAACACCCAGCCCAAACAGGATGCTGGACTATATGGGCCATTGGCCTGATCCAGCAGGCTGTTCCTGTGTCCTTATTGTCACTAAAGCATTGCGAGTTAGGTCCAGCCAGGAATTTGCAGACCTTTGACTAAAACTGATTCATGTTTCTTGTTTCAGGAGCCTCTGCCGGGTGAGGAGGGTGCTGTTGGTTTCTTAGGAACAGAGCGAACCTCTGTGCTTCCAGCCCAGACACAGCCAGGCAGAGAAGCAAAGGAGGAGAATGACTGTGGTGACAGCCTGCTGGGTAAGCACAAAATCACAGAATTGTAGAGTCCAACCCCTGCAGTGTAGGAATCACATCTAAAGAACCTACCAGGAACGAGCTGCTGAGCTCATTAGACATGACACTAATAAAGTTAACAGAAATAACAGAGGTAACAGAAACCACTGGGTTAAAGCTGACCCAAAGTCCAGAGGTAGCATTATTATCAATTTACGAGGGGGTGGAAGGTTCGCAGGCCATGAAGGGCTTGCTCACAAATTTATTGACAGCTGCACAAATTATGATAGCTAGGAAGTGGAAAAGGGCGAGCAGAATACAAAATGGAAGAATGGTATAAAGAGGTGTGGGATATAGCTATTAACGATAAATTAACATGTGCCTTTAAGGTAAGATGGGGAATATGCAGGAGATATGACTTCGAGGAGATATGGAAGGTGTTTGTAGAATTTGTACTGTTAAAATGGAAATAATACTATAATAATAATAATAATTTATTATTTATACCCCGCCCATCTGGTTATGCTTCCCCAGCCACTCTGGGCGGCTTTCAACAAAATATTAAAATACAGTAATGCATCAAACCTTAAAAGCTTCCTTAAACTGGGCTGCCTTCAGATGTCTTCTAAAAGTCTCGTAGTCAGTGTTTTCTTTGACATCTGGTGGGAGGGCATTCCACAGGGCGGGTGCCACCACCGAGAAGGCCCTCTCCCTAGTTCCCTGTAACTTGGCTTCTCGCAGTGAGGGAACCGCCAGAAGGCCCTTGGTGCTGGACCTCAGTGTCCAGGTAGAATGGTGGGGGTGGAACGGAAAAGGGTCAAACCATCGCAAGAGGAGTTGAAATTTTGGGAGGTTGGATAATTACAATGGAATGATCTCCGGGGTGGGGCGCACATTGTTATTTATTTATGATTTATTTATGATTATTACCTTGTCAAAAAACACAAACAAATAGTTAACTCCAACTTTGACTGGTGTGAGTTACTGCCGACTCGCTCTTTGATAGGTTCGCTGGCCTGATCCCTCAGGCTAATCTTCTTTCTCTTGATTCCAACAGATTACAGGCAAACGAACAAGCACAACGATCTGCAGGCAAGGCCCAAGCCAGTGGAGTTGCATCGGGCACCCCAAAGGAAGTCCGTTGATTGCAGTCCCCGGGGTCCTGAGCAGGGGCAAACTGCCCCGAAGGAGCTCATACCCAAAACCAAACAGGGAAACCACGTCCGGAACAGATCGGTGGTGTCTGTTTCCCCTGCGGCAAACAGAAAAATCCTCGTCAAAAGCCCGCCGCCCCAGACGCAGAAGATGTGCATCGCGTCCAGGGATGACTTTGGACAGGACTCGGGCGAAAACGCTCCGGAGAGGCCCTATCACAGGTGCTCCACCTGTGGGAAAACCTTTGGCCAGAGCTCGCACCTTCTCTTCCACCAGAGGACCCACGACGTGGAGAAGCCATACAAGTGCACCCAGTGCGGGAGCAGCTTCCACTCGCGCCAGGGCCTCATCTACCACCAGCGGAGCCATGCGGGCGAGAAGCCCTACAAGTGCTCTTTTTGCGGGAAGACCTTCAGCCAGAGCTCCCACCTGCTGGTGCACTGCAGGAGCCACACGGGGGAGAAGCCCTTCAAGTGCCCCGCCTGCGGGAAGTGCTTCAGCCGGAACTCGCTGCTGACCGTCCACGAGAGGACCCACACGGGGGAGAAACCCTACAAGTGCTCACAGTGTGGGAGTAGGTTCCACTCTGGATCGGGGCTCATCAACCACAAGAGGATCCACGCCGGCGTGAAGCCCTACAAGTGCGCTGAGTGCGGGAGGGACTTCATCCGCAAAGCGCACCTTGCAAGGCACCAGAGCGTACACAGCGAAGACAAGGCGGGCACCTGACCCTCCTGTCTTTCCCCCCGGGACGGGTGGCAAGCCAGTGAGAGCCAGTGTGGTGTAGTGGTTGAGAGCAGTGGACTTGTAATCTGGTGAACCAGGTTCGCTTCCCCGCTCCTCCACATGCAGCTGCTGGGTGACCTTGGGCTAGTCACACTTCTCTCAGCCCCACTCATCTCACAGAGTGTTTGTAGTGGGGGAGGAAGGGAAAGGAGATTGTGAGTCGCTTTGAGAGCCTAGGACTTGTTGATCAGAAGGTCGGCGGTTCGAATCCCCGCAATGGGATGAGCTCCCGTTGCTCGGTCCCTGCTCCTGCCAACCTAGCAGTTTGAAAGCACGCCAGTGCAAGTAGATAAATAGGTACGGCTCCGGCGGGAAGGTAAACGGTGTTTCCTTGCGCTGCTCTGGTTCGCCACATGACCCGGAAGCTGTACGCCGGCTCCCTCGGCCAATAAAGTGTGATGAGCCCCGCAACCCCAGAGTCGGCCACAACTAGACCTAATGGTCAGGGGTCCCTTTACCTTTAGGGTAGTGATAAAGTGGGATATCAAATCCAAACTCTTCTTCTTCTTTCGGGGGCTTTCTGTTCGGAAGATGAGAAAACATGGCAGAGGGATGCTCTGCAGTTTTTGTCTTAGGAACAGGCATCCTTTAAATGGGTCTGGGGCCGAAAATAAATTCCTTTTTGCTCACCGCTCTGTAGTGGGTAAGGGGGCAGAATTTGTCGCCTCTTCTGGGAAGGAAAAAACTTAAAACACGATGCAGTGTTTTCAAAAAACAGACCAGAGGCAATTGTGCTTCATCCAGCAGAGCTTTACTTGCTGCTGAAGGCAAATGAGCATCATGGTCACATTCAGGATTGGCACAATCCATAAGAATCAAGTTGTGGCGCTCACAATAAAACCTACACACTTATAATAAGACTAAACCCTAACACCAGAGCATACAGAAACAGAACACTGGAACAAAGAGATAGAAAGAGAAAGTAAAACCCAGGATCATTCTGGCCTGTATTTATAGTCAGCGTGACCTTAACAGAAAGAGTTAAGAGAACCAGTTTCCCAAAAATCCTTGAAAACCGGAACACTCACTTCCGGGTTTTGATCGTTCGGGAGCCGATTTGTTCAGGAGCCAAGGCGTTCGAGATCCAAGGTACGACTGTATTCAGATTCAAAGCAGCTTACAGCTGTTTCTTGGTTCCCCTCCTATTCTCCTTGCTCTGAAGGGTGTCCCATTCCAAAAGCCAGAGGGAGAGGCCCAGCAATCAAGAGACGGGTCTGGAGCCTTTAAGCTTCCACTGAGAAACCTAAACTCATTATCCTGGACGATTAGCTAGCATCAGCTCTACAAACAGGTGGTGTGTCCAGAGTCAAGAACACACACACACATACACGAGAGATTTTCACATAAAAAGACTCAGGTGGATATTGGTTGTGGGACAGGGAGGAGGGAAAGGGAAAGAAAGGATAAAACAGCAGAGAAGAACGTATATGGGCAGAGGACTAAAAATTACATACTATGTACTGCATGCATTTCCCCATAAACATTTCAATAAATAAATTTCTTTTGCAAAAAAAGTGATTAAATGGTTTTTAAACTGTTGCTGGTAACTGGTCGGTTCCATGTTTTGTTGGGGTATCATACAGTGTAGAAAGTTCTCGGGCAATTCAGCCATACCCAAACAGTTACCACGTTTTTTAAGGGGCAGTGTGTGTAGCTCTCCATTAGTGATGTATGGAAGTGAGAGCTGGACCATAAAGATGGCTGATCGCCGAAGAATTGATGCTTTTGAATTATGGTGCTGGAGGAGACTCTTGAGAGTCCCATGGACTGCAAGAAGATCAAACCTCTCCATTCTGAAGGAAATCAGCCCTGAGTGCTCACTGGAAGGACAGATCCTGAAGCTGAGGCTCCAATACTTTGGCCACCTCATGAGAAGAGAAGACTCCCTGGAAAAGACCCTGATGTTGGGAAAGATGGAGGGCACAAGGAGAAGGGGACGACAGAGGGCGAGATGGTTGGATGGTGTTCTTGAAGCTACTAGCATGAGTTTGATCAAACTGCGGGAGGCAGTGGAGGACAGGAGTGCCTGGCGTGCTCTGGTCCAGGGGGTCACGAAGAGTCGGACACGACTAAACGACTAAACAACAACGTGTGTAGCTCTTGTATATAAGAAAATCATAAGAGCCATGCTGGAGCCATGAGCTTAAACAACACCGCTGGTGCTTTTCAAGCTATCTTGGGATTCGTTTGAATGGGAAGCAGCGCAGGGATGCAAACAGCCGGGGGATCAAATGAGAAAATCAACGCAGCAGCGCCCTTAAGTGACGCCCCCCCCCTTTTGGAGAGATCGGAAAGGCTCTGCGGGAATTGCAGCTCCGACAGGGAAAGACTACAACTCCCAGAATTCCCCTTTGCCCAGAAAAGTCCAGCCGGCGTGAGCCTGACTCCCCTCTCCTCTGTGCAGAAAGAGGAGGAGCTTTCTCCCCCCGCCCTCCCAGTCAATGCTAAGAAGGCAGGAGGGAGCCCTTTGCGCACAAAAATTAATATACCCACCTAGAATCGGGGATCAGAGAGAGAGAGAAGTGTGTGTGTGTTTATGTTTATGTGTGGATCCAAAACTCCCCTTGTGGAATTGGATCTGGGCCAGCAAGATCCCTGCTAGAGAAGCTGGGAGAGGGAATGAGAGAGCCGCAGATCTAAATGTTCGCATGGAGAGCTAAGCTCCTTCCGCGATTCCTTTGAATGCATGCAGTTTTCTTGGGGCCGGTGGGTGCTCTTGGGGCGCACGTGGCGACACGGGGGATGCACGTCTGAACGGACGCAGGAACGGGGAAGATTGGGGACGCGCATCCCTTCAAACACCAAGCCGGATCAGAAGGTGAGAGCGCCTCCTTCCTTCCTTTTTCCCCCTATTGTTTTTATTATTATTATTATTATTAATAATAATAATAATAATAATTTATTTATACCCTGCCCATCTGGCTGGGTTTCCTCAGCCACTCTGGGCGACTTCCAACTGAATATTCAAATACAATAATCTATTAACATTAAAAGCTTCCCTAAGCTTCCCTAAATTATTTCACGTCATTGCCAAATGAATGCAATTTAATGCAATTTCCCAAAACTGGCTTCCAGAGAGCGCTTCCTCTTAAATGTGTGTGTGTGTGTGAACAGGTGCCAACTCCGTTGGACCCTCCCACAAAATTCCCTATGAAGGGGGCGGGCACCCACAAATTTTGGTGCCAGGGCCATGCCCCATAGCACCCATGGCCCCGGCCACCCAAGGTTGCTGGACAAAGTTGGTACTCCTCTCTCTCTCTCTGTGTGTGTGTAAGAGAGAACACTTCCATGTCTAGGATGCTTAGCAGGTATACAGATCACAGAATCAGAGAATTGGGAGGGACTCCCGTGGTCATCTAGTCCAACCCCCTGCAATACAGGAATCTCAACTCAAGCATCCGTGACAGATAGCCATCCAACCTCTGCTTAAAATCTCTGAGGAAGAAGAGGCCACAACCTCCTGAGGGAGACCGTTCCACTGTTGAACAGCTCTTCCTGTCAGAAAGTTCTTCCTGATGTTGCAGGAATTTACAGTGGTGCCTCGCAAGACGAAATTAATCCGTTCTGCGAGTCTCTTCATCTTGTGGTTTTTTCGTCTTGCGAAGCACGGCTATTAGTGGCTTAGCGGCTTTAAGAAAAAGGAAACAAACTCGCAAGAACTCGCAAGACGTTTCGTCTTGCGAAGCAAGCCCATAGGGAAATTTGTCTTGCAGAACGACTCAAAAAACGCAAAACCTTTCGTCTAGCGAGTTTTTCGTCTTGTGAGGCATTCATCTTGCGGGGCACCACTGTATGTATAGGCTGGGGGGGTTGCCCCTCCAGCAGATATCATGCGCATGCAGCCCACTACCAAAATCAGCACCATCACTCTTGTGACTTTTGTGATTTGTCCCCACAAAACACTTCATCACAGTTTCTTCCTATCTATTCAAAGGGCCTTTGCTGCATGATACCAAATGTAAGAATTCGCTGATAAATGTATCTGTGCATGGGCTCACAGGGAAAACTTCAGAAATTCATATAGACATGTGAGCTCAGCTACTCAGCATCACCTCTGCCTGAGTGATAATCCCTGGATCCTGATACCTGAGTGTCAGACAGGTAGCCATTCCAGAAATAACAAATCCAGATGAAGACAAAAGGGTGTGATTAACTTGGCTGGGAAACAGGGAAATGTAAATATCTCTTTTGTTACACTTGATGGGTGTTTGGTGGAGGACAAGGAGAACCATGGGGCAGGGTCCAGGATGCTCAGATTACTGCCACCAGACCTCCCCCTTCATGATGTATTAGTGATGTAGTTTGGGGGGGGTGTAACATGGGAATTAGCAGCTAATAAAAGTTTGGGTTCTCTTTTGTTCGGTGCTTCCATCTTGTTCCACCTTGTGGCAGGTGGGAGTCCTGCGACAGTCTTCAATAAAGACCAAGCCTACTGGCTGCTGCTTTGCTCTGGTAATCCTGGCTGGTGTCCTTGTTTTTTGTCCAAGGGAGCCCTCAGATTTCTCCGTTAACAGCCGGGATCTCCTTTCTTGTAACTCAAAGCCATTGGTTTGGGTTCATATGGAAGGTTTTTTTAATGTTTTATTATGTTTTTATATATGTTGGAAGCTGCCCAGAGTGACAGCAGATGGGTGGGGTATAAATAATGACATTATTATTATTATTATGGAAGAGGATGTCCCTATTTTCATCAGAGAAATGTTGAAAGGTATGTAAGTTTAGCGCTCATTTCTGTATCATTTGCAAATAGATTCCCCCCCCCCGTCCAGAAGCAAATACAGTCAAACCTCGGTTCTCAAATGGCTCCATTGCCGAACATTTCAGCTCCCCTACGCTGAAAACCTGGAAGTAAGTGTTTTGGTTTTCAAATGTTTTTCAGAACTCGAATGGCTTCCAAGGCACATTTCTCTCCCCCCCCATTGAAATTGGAGACAGCCCTTAGATTTTCGGTTTCCAAATGTTTCGGAAGTCGAACGGTCTTCCGGATTACGTTTGAAAACCGAGGTTCCACTGTAACTGAGAAATTAGTGTAAAGCTTGCACTGTATTCCCAGATGTGGCTTTCATGTTGTGTGAATGCCCAACTGTAATGTAGAAATTAACAGGGAAATGTCAGGAAAGCAAAATACAGTGGAACCTCGGGTTAAGTACTTCATTCGTTCCAGAGGTCCATTCTTAACCTGAAACCTTAACCTGAAACTTTAGCTAATGGGGCCTCCTGCTGCTGCCGCACCGCCGGACCACAATTTCTGTTCTCATCCTGAAGCAAAGTTCTTAACCCGAGGTAATATTTCTGGGTTAGTGGAGTCTGTAACCTGAAGCGTATGTAACCTGAGGTACTACTGCATATGTCGTGCAACTGCAGCCTAAGAGAGAGAAGCTTGAGGTAGCTGTCAACAGGAGAAGGCGAGGCTCTCTTAAACTTTTAAGGTTTGAAGTGTGTGCAAATATCTGTGTACCTTTTACTCAAAGCGCTTTTAATACAACTTTCCACGGTTGTGGCTACTCCAGAGAATCATGGGAACCTTTGTTGAAGAAGTTGAAATTAAGAGGTCCCATGTTCCCCTTGACTGACAATTCCCAAAGCGGTTTAGCAATCGGCTCCTCTTTCTGGGAAACTCTGGGAATTTGTGTGAGGCTCAAATCTTAACGTGGATGAATGGAAAAGCATCTTTTTTGTATGCAGAATGTCACAGGTTCGATCCCTGGCAATGTGGAAGGAAGGGGGGTGGAGAAGAGAGCAAATTTAGGTCCTAAAACATTCTGGTTCCATAATAACCAGGTAGAATGTTCCGGAGAGGGAAGGAGGTACATGGCAGTTGGTTCCGCCCAGGCCAATGCCACTCTGGGCGGCTCCCAACAGAATTAAAAGCACAATAAAACATCAAACATGAAAAGCTTCTCTAAACAGGGCTGTCTGCAGATGTCTTCTAAAAGTCAGGTAGTTGTTTATTTCCTCGACATCTGATGGGAGGGTGATCCACAGGGCGGGCGCCACTACTGAGAAGGCCATCTGCCTGGGGAAAGGGATGCCACCAGGGAAAGAATTTGGAAAGGTTTATCTCACTTGCATATTTTTTTTTCCATCCCCCAGACAGAAGCTCAACACACCCACGTCGATCACGGTAGTTTATTCTGGAGTTTTCCGGGAGTTTGTCCCGGGATGAAAATGGAAAGGGATGTTCCCGATGGCAGTACGCGAAGGGAAAGCCCCGGGAAATCCATTCACGACAATGTAAACCGCAAACCCAGGATGGGCTTCGAGGGAGAAAACGAATCCCCTGAAGCAGTGCATTGTGGGGGAGCGCACCAGAGAGTGGCTCTGCGCCAGGTGAAGGAGGAGCCAGAAGATGGTTTGGGCCAGTCCTGGGAAGCCCAGTGGCAGGAGTTTTTGAAGACGGTAGAGTCCCCTCACTCGGAATGGGGGGTCCCCCAGTTGCCGGAGGAGCCCACCCCCTGGGACGATGCCCAGGCCTTCTTGGCCTCCTTCGAGCGAGTGGCCAAAGCCTGCCGGTGGCCCAAGGCCGAGTGGATGGTCCGTCTGCTGCCGGCCCTCAGCGGGGAAGCGGAGCTGGCCTTCAGCAGCCTGGAGGCTGGAGACAAGGAGAATTATGGGAAAGTGAAGGCCATCATCCTGCGATGGGATGCTCTCACGAGGGAGAGGTGGCGCCAGCACTTCCGCTGCTTCCGCTACCAGGAGGCTGAGGGGCCGCGAGGGGTTTGCGGGCAGCTCCAAGAGCTCTGCCGCCAGTGGCTGAAGGTGGAGAGGCACTCCAAGGAGCAGATCCTGGAGCTGCTGATCCTGGAGCAGTTCCTGACCATCCTCCCGCCAGAGATCCAGAGCTGGGTGAGGGAGCACAGCCCAGAAACCTGCTCCCAGGCGGTGGCCCTGGCCGAGGAGTTCTTGTTGAGGCAGCGAGAGGCCAAGAGACTGGATAACCAGGTGAGAGCTGCCATAAAACTGTGGTTGGCAGGTTACACCAAACCAGGTGTCCATGCAGGTGCAGGTCAATTCTGTATCCAGGGCAGCTGTCTACCAGCTCCATCTGGTACGCAGGCTGAGACCCTACCTGTCTCACCAGAGTGGTACATGCTCTAGTTATCTTGGACTACTGCAATGCGCTCTACGTGGGGCTACCTTTGAAGGTGACCCGGAAACTACAACTAATCCAGAATGCGGCAGCTAAACTGGTGACGGGGGGCGGCCGCCAAGACCACATAATACCGGTCTTGAAAGACCTGCATTGGCTCCCAGTACGTTTCCGGGCACAATTCAAAGTGTTGGTGTTTACCTTTTAAGCCCTAAATGGTATCAGCCTAGTATACCTGAAGGAGCGTCTCCACCCGCATCGTTCAGCCTGGACACTGAGGTCCAGCTCCAAGGGCCTTCTGGCGGTTCCCTCACAGCGAGAAGCAAAGCTACAGGGAACCGGCAGAGGGCCTTCTCGGTGGTGGCACCCGCCCTGTGGAACGCCCTCCCATCAGATGTCAAAGAGATAAACAACTACCAGACTTTTAGAAGACATCTGAAGGCAGCCCTGTTCAGGGAAGTTTTCAATGTATGAAATTTAAATGTATTTTTAATCTTTGTTGGAAGCCACCCAGAGTGGCTGGGGAAGCATAGCCAGATGGGCGGGGTACAAATAATAAATTATGATTATTATATTATTATATAACCTCTGGCTTTCCAGATGTTGTTAATCTATGACTCTCATCACCGTTGACCACGCTTCCTGGTGCTGATGGGAGTTGTTGTTCAGCAATGTCTGGAAGGTTCCTCACTCCCAGAATAAACTGTGGTTTGAGTGCTCTGCCTTGCTAGCATTTAACTTGCGCGATTTCAACCACCTGTGCTACTTTGGTTTAAAAAAGAGAAAATTCCTATTGTGAAAGGCCTATCTGGAAACAGAGCAAGTTTTCAGAGCAGGCCTGAAAGCCGCCAGAGCAGCTTACGGTAATGCCGTTTACCTTCCCGCCAGAGTGGTACCTATTTATCTACTTGCACTTTGACGTGCTTTCAAACTGCTAGGTGGGCAGGAGCTGGGACCGAGCAACGGGAGCTCACCCCGTCGCGGGGATTCGAACCGCCGACCTTCTGATCGGCAAGTCCTAGGCTCAGTGGTTTAACCCACAGCTCCTCACTCCTGACACTTTTGCCTCTGTCCTTGCCTGCTAACAACATGTGACCCTTGTCAGGCTGCTGTGGTCCTTAGGCTGAAAAAGGTGAACAGGTCCCTGTCTGCTGTTGTAGGTATTGTTTGAGGAGGACGAGGAGGAAGAGGGTTCGTCTGAGGTTGACCAAACTCCTCCTGATGCTGTGCAGAGGGCGGCCAACGTGGAAACCAAGCAGGAAGATGGCGGCCACTACGATGGGGATCCGTGCCCATTGGGTAAGCATGGTGGATGGCCTGCCATTGTGCTGGGCTCAAGATCAGACAGTGTCGTGGACATAGCTTCCCGCAGTCCAGAGGAGCAGTCCGAGTCAGAAGGGGAAGAGAAACCAGCCAAAAGCTCCCTCTTGCTTATGAAGATATTGGGTTAAACATGACGTCAATGTTAATGTTCCAATCTGTTTCCCTGAATGTGGTAGGGTTTTAGAATTCTGTTTTTGAGTTCAGTTATGATGACTGAATCTGGATTAAGCACCCACTTTGCAGCCCTATGTATAGCCTCTCAAGCTTTTACATACCTGTGGCTTCTTTTGTGTTGTCTGTTTAAAGAAATAATTGTTGTGTGCTTTACGGAGTGTATAAGAATAAGAAGGACTCTTCATTTGACAATATACTGTAATAATAATAATAATATTTTCTTATTTATATCCCGCCCTCCCCAGCCGAAGCCGGGCTCAGAGCGGCTAACAACGATAAAAGTAACACAGCATTCTAAAATCAATTCATTTTAAAATCAGTTCAAAATCAAATTAATGGCAACCATTGGGCTAGAGTTCTGTGAGGATTACCAAAGGAGGTAGCTGAGAACTACTTGTAAATCTGGAAAAAACTAATAAAAATTATTTTGAAAAGAGAAACAAAGAGAATATCATTTACACTCGCTCCTTCTCTGTTAGGTGTGTGGGCACACTGGGATTTTTGAGTGAGTGCCATGGTCACTTTTCTCCTCCAAGAGAAAACGCATGCACAGAAAATCAGTTGCCCGGGAGAGAAAGCGGCCAATTTATTTATTTATAAAATATTATGTTTCGAAGTCCGTTCTGACAGAACGACTCTGAAGCTTTTAAAAGCACATAGAGCTGAAAGAGGAAGTGGGAAAGAGCGTCACACTTCCAACTTCCTCCTTCAGGTCTTATGTGCTTTGCAAGGGAGAAGAGTTTAACCATCTTCACCACTCTTCTGAATCTTCCAAAATCCAGTTTCATTCGACATTCCTGAGTTCTTGAGTTATGAGAGGGGGAAAAAGCTTTCCGCTGTCCACCTTCTCCACATCATGCTTAATTATGCACTTGATAATGTTGCCTTTTTCTTTTCTCTGATCCAAGAAGCTTGGTTGTCTTTTGTACCCCCATTTCCTCTAATACAGGTATGGAATTGTTTGGGATTCCCACTTTTTGTCTTCAGCAGGCAAAGGATGGATGACCGCAGATGAGGAGGAGAAATATTTGCCCGAAGATTCTGACACGGTGGCGCCACGTGGGACTTCAGCATGGAAAGAGAGTTTTTCCTCGTCTCATGAGCTCAATAGTTCTTCAGCAAGTCAGGAAAGAACGAGGTGCTGTCAGGAAATCCACCCAGCACAGGAAGCAGAACTATCCATTTCCTGTGGGGAAGGTCCCCAGGTCCCCAGTGAACCCACGATCCAAATAGAGATTGATGCTGGTAAGATATAGAACCCTTGAAGTGCTTGTGGCAAAAGCAGACAAAACTGCACTAACTCCCTCTTCCTAGAGTGGCCCACCGGAGGCCGCAGTGGGAAGCCCCCAAGCCAGGACCTGAGTGCAGCATCGACAGTCACTTGCGATTGTAAGTGATTGGCATTCAGGGGGGACACTGATTCTGACAGTGGAGGTAGATTGCAGCCATCAGGGCCAGTAGCAATCAATAGATTTATTCTCCATGATTTGATGATGATGATGATGATGATGATGATAATGATAATAATAATAATAATAATAATAATAATAATAATAATAATAATAATAATTTATAACCCACCCATCTGGCTGGGCTTCCCCAGCTACTCTGGGCGGCTTCCAACAAAATATCAAAATACAGTAATGCATCAAACATTAAAAGCTTCCCTAAACAGGGCTGCCTTCTGATGTCTTCTAAAAGTCTGGTAGTTCTCTTTGAAATCTGGTGGGAGGACGTTCCACAGGGCGGGTGCCACCACCGAGAAGGCCCTCTGCCTGGTTCCCTGTAACTTGGCTTCTTGCAGTGAGGGAACCGCCAGAAGGCCCTCGGAGCTGGACCTCAGTGTCCGGGCAGAACGATGGGGGTGGAGACGCTCCTTCAGGTATACAGGGCCAAGGAGGCCATTTAGGGCTTTAAAGCACCAACACTTTGAATTGTGCTCGGAAACGTACAAATAAATAATGACACTATCAAATGAGCAAATGGATTAAAAAAACAAAACACCACAAACAGTGATAAACAGGTAACTGGAGATGATAAAAATCAAACAAAACAAGCGGGCAGGGGAGGGGAAGCAACCACCACAACTTTATGATTCATTGAGAAAGGGGTGTGGGGGTGATGGAAATAAGATATAGTCCCAACCAGAGAATAATGGCAGATTTGAGTTAATGGATTTACGCCGAAATGGCAAAAATGCCTGGAAGAATCAGAAATCAGGAAGAACAGAATTTAAATAAAGAATGGGGCAAATTTATAATTTATCTTAAAACCCACTGTACAGTGGTAACTCAGGTTAAGAACTTAATTCGTTCTGGAGGTCCATTCTTAACCTGAAACTGTTTTAACCTGAGGTACCACTTTAGCTAATGGGGCCTCCCACTGCCGCCACACCGCGCGATTTCTGTTCTCATCCTGAAGCAAAGTTCTTAACCCGAGGTACTATTTCTGGGTTAGCGGAGTCTGTAACCTGAAGCGTCTGTAACCTGAGGTACCACTGTACAGCCGTACCTCGAAAGTCGAACAGAATCCATTCTGGAAGTCCATTTGACTTCCGAAACATTCAATTTCCAAAACATGGCTTCTGATTGGCTGCAGGAAGCTCCTGTAACCAATCGGAAGCCACAGAAGCCCCGTCGGATGTTCGGCTTCTAAAAGAACGTTCGAAAACTGGAACACTCGGTTCCAGTTTTCGATCGTTTGGGAGCCGGAACATTCGACTCCCAAGGCATTTGGGAGCTGAGGTACGACTGTAAACAGTTGAAATTGTTAGTAGGATTAGAAAAACGCTGGTAGTTTAATGGTGAATTTTGGATATACTGCAGATGTAAAAGATTTGGATTAGTATAAAAGATGTAGGAGGAAATGACTAACAATAGGACCCACAAAGGGGAGGAAGGAAATCCAGGCGATTCTATGGAATCTTGTTTTTATGTTGTATGTTGGATATGTGATAGTAAAAATTTAATTTGAAAAACCAAAATAGAATAGAATAGAATAGAATAGAATTTATTATTTATGCCCCACCCATCTGGCTGTGCCTCTCCAGCTACTCTGAACGGCTTCCAACAGAGTATTAAATACAGTGGTCTGTTAAACATTAAAAGCTTCCCTAAAGAGGGCTGCCTTCAGATGTCTTCTAAAAGTCTGGTAGTTGTTCTTCTCTTTGACATCTGGTGGGAGGGCATTCCACAGGGCGGGTGCCACCTCCGAGAAGGCCCTCCCATGTAAGGCACCACTACCCAAAATGCCCTGTTCACCACCAATTTATTACTATGGGGGGAAATGGGGATCCTTCCTTCCCACTGTCCAAGCCACCCCCATGGTTGCATTCAGTAATATTTGTTCACAGACACAAAGTCCCCCACAGACTTTTGCACAGATGATGGGAGTTGTGGTAGTGCCTCATGGAAGCCTTTCCCAAGTTAATAGTGAGCTTTGTCCCCCCTTTGCCCCTTGATATCTTACTGGGTTTCTCTCTTTATTCTTGCAGATGATGTGGGGGAGAACGAGGAAGAACGGGAATTACCTGGGATATTGTCCGGAAGAGATGGGCATGAACAGTTGAAGGAGATCCTTTGGAATCGAGATGGACCACAGATGGAGGAAGGTCAACCACACAGGGAAAAAGAAACACCAATCCATTCCTTATCAGGATGGGAACTTTTATGACATCCCAGATCAACAAGAACAGGCAGAAAACAGGAGGGTCAAGGGCCTCGATATTTGTTGGAGAATACACACAGAAGAGAAACCAGACCAGACCTTAGTGTTTGGGAAGAGCTTCACTGAGGGCGGAAATCTTCCGGAATTTCAAATGCTCTGCGAAGAGCAGAAACCGTACAAATGCTTTGTGTGTGGAAAGTGCTTCACACGGAGTACCAACCTTACTTCACATCAAAGAATCCACACAGGGGAGAAGCCCTATGGCTGCCCAGACTGTAGCAAGAGGTTTTCTAGTCCAGTCGGATCTTATTAAGCATAAGAGAATTCACAGAGGAGAGAAACCGTACAGATGCTTTGTGTGTGGGAAGAGCTTTAGCCAGGGTGGGCACCTAACCTCGCACCAAAGAATCCACACAGGGGAGAAGCCCTATAAATGCTTGGAGTGTGGGAAGAACTTTAGCAAGAACACCAACCTTACTCTGCATCAGAGAATCCACACAGGGGAGAAACCATACAAATGTCTAGAGTGTGGGAAGAGCTTCACTTGGAATTCAAACCTTACCTCTCACCAGAGAATTCATACAGGGGAGAAACCGTTCAAATGCTCAGATTGTAGCAAGAGCTTCTGCAATCACTCGACGCTTATTAAGCACATGCGAATCCACACAGGGGAGAAGCCCTATAAATGCTTTGTGTGTGCAAAAAGCTTCAGTCAGAGCTCTAGCCTCACGGCACACAAGAGAATCCACACGGGGGAGAAACCGTATAAGTGTTCTGAATGTGGGAAGAGCTATAGCAAAAACACAAATCTTATTTCACATCAGAGAATTCACACAGTGGGAAAAGTGCATAAGTAAATTGTTGCATTAATGCTTGGAGTGTAGGAAGAGCCCTCGATGTATACCTATAGGGAAAACCATAGAAATTAAACTTTCTACACATGAAGAAATCCAGCTACCATCTTATTAGATATTCACACACAGAAGTTGCATAAATGTCTAGATGTCTGGAGGTCAAGTTATAACTCCTGGAAAACCATACGAGTGACAGTGGACAAAATTGAGGGGGGATCGAGCAACTTCCATTGTTTCTCCACCAGTCAGTTAAAATGTAAAGGGGATAGTAATTTTGGGGGGCAGTTTTTCCTAGATAGATATTTCTTTTTGTCAGCATTATGCAAACTACATTGAAATAAAGGTTTCTTCCAGGTTTTTCAAGCAGAACTGTGGATTGTTGCTTATTGTTTACGTTTGCTGCAAATGGGGGAAAAAAAAGATTTTATAAAGCTTTTGGAGTTGGTTTGGAAAAGCTTCTCAAGTGATGTATATTGATGTATCTTTTATATATATACATATATACAGTTTAAACCAGGGGCTCTCAAACAGTGGCCTGCAGGCTGGCAGTGGTCTATCAACTAGGCTTCAGTTAGTGAAATAGAAATTTTGTAAAACACATTATCGGAGGCCAGAGTCGCTACACAAGAGTGAGGCCTGACCACAAAACTGGTAAGAACCAGTTTAGGAGGAAGCTAAAAATGACTGTTAGAGTGAAAAACAAGTCCAGGTAAGGTGCAAGGAAGGCTCTGTACGTACAGTAAAAAAGGCTGGGTTGGGTAAGTGTCTCTAGGATTTATAGTTGGATGAGAAGGCGATTCTTTGGCAATCACTTGTAGCTGAGTAAGATTGCCTTCCATGAATATGGTTTTAACTGTGAGCCCATAAGTGATTGTAGAGGCCAGTTCTGGATCCACACATCCTTCCACAGTGGGGACGTAGGTTTCTGGGTGGGATTTGATCACTGTGAGGGTTTCCAAAGCATGCCTTCCTCTTAGAACATTTCGTCCTGAGTTTGAGCGTCTTCAAAACCCACAACACCTTTGGTAAAGGCTGTTCTCCAACTGGATTGCTCGCAGGCCGGTGTTTCCCAGTTGTCAGTGTTGCATTACGCTTTCTATTTTTTAAGTTCGGAGTAGAGTAGTTGCTTTGGAAGATGATAATCAGGCATCCGCACAACATGACCAGTCCAACGAAGTTGATGTTGAAGAATCATTGCTTTGACACTGGTGGTCTTTGTTCTTCCAATACACTGGCATTAGTTCGCCTGTCTTCCCAAGTGATAACGTACAATTTTTTGGAGGCACCGTTGATGGAATAATTCAAGGAGTTGAAGATGGCACATGGATTCACCACAGTTGGCTCCTGTGATAAGGAGAATCCTTCTGCTAAATCAGTCCTAAGACCCATCATCATACGACATCCTGTTCCCACAGTGGCTAACCAAATGTGAATCCTCCCACATAATCTGAAACAAAAAGTAGTTTTGGCCTTGAACTTGATAAATGACACCTCTGGAAAACGGTTTCAGAAGTATCAGGTTTCCAAATTAGTTTTTGTGCTTAAAATATGCCTTTGTATTCATATCTGGCCTGAGTATAATAATGTAGCATTTAGGAATGAAGATGCAGCCCAGAAGCCCAGCACTGGAGGCCAAGATAGAGAAGACCTGCACGGACACCATGTATTTCCCCTTGGTGCTCTGGTAGGTGGGCACAAAGGAGACCCAAACACTGCAGAAGACCAGCATGCTGAAGGTGATCAGCTTGGCTTCATTGAAGGCTCCAGGCAGGTTCCTGGCTAGGAAAGCCACCATGAAGCAAATGGAGGCCAGGAAGCCCATGTAGCTAAGGGCAGTATAAAACAGGGCAACAGACCCTTCATTGCATTGCAGGATGATCTCTCCAGCCTGGGAGCTCATGTCAGACTCTGGGAATGGGGGAGAGATACACAGCCAGATGATGCAGATGACAACTTGGACACTGGAGCAGGAAATGACAATGGAGTTGGCCAGACTCTTCCCCAGCCATTTCTTCACTCTGTTCCCTGGCTTTGTGGCCAGAAAGGCTAGAACCACAGTGATGGTTTTTGCCAACCAAAGAAGAGACGGCAACTGAGAAGATGGTGCTGAAGGCCATTTGTTGCAGAAGGCATGTCACTTTCCTTGGCTGCCCGATGAAGAGGAAGGAGGACAAAAAGGAAAGCAGGAGGGAAACGAGGAGAATATAGGAGAGGTCTCGGTTGTTGGCTTTGACTAAGGGAGTTTTTTTGTACTTAATGAAGGTTCCTAACACAAAGCCTGTAGTTAAGAATAAGAAGAGGGAAAAGGAAGCTAGGACGACCCCCAAAGGTTCTTCATAAGCCAGGAAGGTGATAATCTTGTGGACACATTGATCTCTAGCCTTGTTTGGATGTTGATCTTCTGGGCAGCTGGGGCAATGCTCTGCATCTGCAGAAAAACAGGAGTATTATCAATCACGTAGCCCACTGTAACAGTGGCAAGAAAAATTGATGAGATATGTGGAATTGGCCAAGTTGACATATAAACTGCGTGACAAGGACAACCATGACTTTGGAAGAATGGGAATCATGACTTTGGAAGAATGGGAACTTGTTACAAACTAATTAAAAAGACAACAAAAAATGACTTGGACTCCTTGGCAGGTTTTGAATAAACACCCACAAATTTATTAGTTAAATATATGATAGACAAGGCAAGGATATGTACAATTTTATAATATGCAGAGAACAATATGTGCAAAGAAACCAGAGAGGGGAGCTGAGGGGAGTCCTGGGGGGGGGGAGAGGGAGGGAGGGAAAAAATAATGTAATTGAATATTTTGATTGATAAATTGTTATGTTGAAATTGTTTTAAGATTTTTTTAAAAAAAATCATGTGTATATATATATATATATATATATATATATATATATATATATTTGCTTTCGTAGATTTTCACGGGTACAGGAATGCAGGTTTTGGTGTCCTCGGGTGTCTTCCCGTGTAAAAGTTGGGGTGTCTAGGCGACGTTTCGACGAGGTCTCACTCGTCATCTTCAGGCTGGTGCTTTCGGCTTCTTGTTACTGGAACAGAGCAGGATCTCAGTGTTTGAGTTCCTATAAATACTGTTGAGGGGGTGTGGTGTATAGCCTCCAATGTTCTGGGCAGAGAGGAAGTTCCCAGGCTAGTGTGCCTTTTCTTCTTTTGTTCCTTAATTACTTGAGGGATATCTTGAGTGATTTCTTGAGTGATATTCTGAGTACCACTTAGGTGGGTCATTAGGTGTGGATTAGTTGCTAAAGCCTTCGTGTCTTGACCTCTTGAACTTTGTGAAGAGTTTTTCTGAGAAGATGGCTGTACTGCACTTAGTTGTGCTCTGGCTTGGCTTCGTGTATAGGGGCGAGCTGTGGTTTTGTGCCCTGTGCCAGCCAGATCTGTGTAGGGATTGCAGGGGGGTGCAGCATCCGGAGGTGCCACCATGGTTTGGCTACTGGATGGTGTCTGTAATTTATCTGTGGAGAGGGTCTGGGTTTGGGTCTGGTGTGGTTGATTGGTGATGGCGTTCTGTGTGCCTCTGGATCTGGTGTCGGTTTTTGTGGGGAGGGCTAATTTCCAGATGTCTGGCAGGCGGGACGTGTCGTCACGCTTGTTCATGTTGTGAGGGTGTTTCTCTATCTCGATGGCTTCCATGATTATTCTCTTGTGGTGATGTTCCATGTTAAAGAGCAATTTGGAATCTGCAAAATTAATTTCGTGTCCTGTTTCTTTCATGTGTTGGAAAAGAGAGGAAGTTTTTTCTTCTTTTTTGACGGCATTCTTGTGTTCTGCGATACGTGCATTTATTCGTCTGTTTGTTTGTCCAATGTACGTGGCTGGGCAGACTTTGCAGGGTATTTCATAGACCCCTTGGTTTTCCAACTGGATTTTATCTTTGGGGTTTCTGAGGATATTGGCTATTTTTTGGTTGGTGCAAAAGGCTGTTTTGATATTGTGTTTATGGAGGATTTTGCTAATTTTATCTGTAGTGCCCTTGATATAAGGAAGGAGGGCCATGCCATTGTTTTCTTCTGTGTCTTGGTTTTTGGGGGGTGTTTCTTTTTGGATTAGCTTCGTAACCCTGTTTTGCTGGTATCCATTGGCGATTAACACATTTGAGAGATTCTGTAACTCAGTTGTCAAGTGGTCTTTGTCAGCCAGGCGTTTGGTTCTGGAGATGAGAGTCTTGGCTACGGAGTTTATTTGTGCAGGGTGGTGGTGTGATTGTGCATGTAAGTAG